GAAAAGATTGCCATGCACTTCACTTTCGCTTCAAATGTGTCCCTGAATCACTAAGGTTTTGCAGAAAATGTCATGTCCATCATTTCTTAACAGAGAATAGCTAAGTCGTTGTTTCGTGCTGCACTGCCTCTGTAATTTCGCCCTTCCTTCTCTCTGTCCTGTCCCTAATAGCTTATTAGCCGAAAAGTTTCCTTTGTACCACGTGAAACCTTTAGCACAATCATCCTCTTAAAAGGCACACTTGTTTTCTGAACTGAAGTCAGGTGCCATCATGAGCCCGCAGGAACGTGGCATGTTGGTAATTTTTTTTTTTTTAAGTGTCTTTGTAATGGTTCATGTGGTGGTTATGTGGGAGTTTAGGTCATGTATGGACGAAAGTACTACTAAACATGGCACGCAGTACTGTGCTGCTCTTATAAATCATACTGCTCAGTAAGTTAATGTTGTTATCTGTAAGATATATGTATAAAATATACCCAGGAGGATCTGGTGTTGTTTAAAAGGCAAAGGTGGTACCTATTTGGTGCTGTCACGGTTCAGTTTACTGCATTTTACATGAGGCTAACTAATAAATAAACAAGTTTTCATGGCATTATTTTTTAAATCACCCTCACTTCACTTTTGCCCCCTGGAACTTTGTTGAACAGGCTGAACTCTCATGAATTTGCAGATTCCCGTCAAATTTTACGCCACAATCACCAGGCTGACATTTGGAGTTCACATTCAATGTCTCGACAACTGCTGAATGTCGTTCAGTCCAATTACAAATTTAGTGCAGACGTTCAGGTTTTGTTTTGTTTTTTTTGGTTAAATGTCTTTACGAAGGAAAAACTTCAAATTGTCAAAACAAAAAAAAAAATTGATCATCAAACAAGAAATGGGTTTGTTTGTTTTTTAAAATCTTCTTTGTGTTGCAGGCTTAACGGACAAGGTTACAGGAGGAGATGCTGACATGTGAAAACCAGTAAAAGAATGGCATATCTCTTCCATATAGGAATTGCTCCTAAACCTGGGAATCTGGGCCTCGACAGAGGGTAAGCGTTCACGTGGACACTCCATACAGCACCTTGAACGTCTTAAATATCCTCTCATTTCTCTAGATTTTGCTTCCACGGAGTCAGACTTTGTTGTAATTTTTGAACATGGTCTACAGTAAGAGTTCTTTAGGCTTTCTGAAGGTTTTTAAAGTTTCAGCTCCTTTTTCACTCAGTCTTGCTTAACACTGACCTGTGAATCATTCAAGCATAAAACAACTCATAACTCAAGGGATGAACCGGCATTGTGTCTACACACAACAGACGATTTAGGCACTATGTTACTAGCAGCCTGTTGCAAAAACACATGGAATAGAATC